ACCCGGACTGAGAGAGACAGGAAACACCCAGCCCACGCTGGCCGGCGACGGAGGCGGGGCCAGGGCGGGAACGTCCGCAGTCGACACCCACTTCCGCCCCGCAGAGGGCACCATCCTAAACCGTCTGTTATGCCCCCGACCTCGACCCCTTTCCTTCTAACCTCCCAGGAGGGAATGGGCTCCGCTTGCTCTTGCTGGGCCATGCATTTACTCCTACTCCTGAATGCTCCGCGTTTTTAGCTGCCAGGGCGGAGAACAAGGTGCGGGAGGTTTTCCTTCCCGGGCAGAGAAGCGCTGCGGAACTTTCGTTCCCCGGAACTGGATTCTCGCTTCCAGGCGGAGTTCTATAGAGTCAACACACCGGGGAAAGATGGCGGTCGAGGGTCGGCTGCTGCCCTGGGTCTGGCAGAACTCGGGGTTATTGGGCTGAAGTGGCAGCAGCTGCGGCCCAGGCCCCGTCTGCGGGGGCGTGGAGCGGATAAAGATCTACCGGCTGCGGGTAGCTAGTGGGAACAGGGTCGTCGTTTCTCTGGGCGGTGGGGCGGAGACTTTGAGGGAGGTGTCTCTAGGCCGAGTCCCTGCCCAGCCAGGTCGGAGGGAGAGGTGAAGGGACTAGTGTTCGAGCTCTAGAGGGGCTCTCCGCGACCCTTTCCAACCTCTTTTCATATTTGGGGCGATAGGCCTTTATAAACGGACTAATGCTGGGCGGAAAAGAATTGTGGTTGTTGATGACGAGGACAGACGCCGGGCCTCAGGAGTCACCCGAACTGGAGTTCGAATCTTGTTCGCTTGCAGTGTGACCTTGGGTGAGTTCCCTCACCTCTCTGAGCCTCAGTTTCCTCCTTAGTGAAATGTAGTAATTAGCTCTTCTCACTGAGAGTGTTGCTTGATGTTTTAGTATCATGCCTGACACTCCGCTCTCAATAAACAGAAACGTGGTGTCATTTGACCCAACTTTGCCCCCAGGGGGAAGGATTACATTCTCAGCTTCTCTTTGCTTTACTATTCTGTGATCCTGGGTTTTGCGTGTTTCACTTAGAAATAAATCATTCCTTTGGAGTGAGAGGTGGGTTCAAAATCAGGAGCCCAGCGACTTCCAGCAAACCGTGTTCCCCTCTGCATTTCATTTTCCCTGTGTGAAGGTGGAATTGACAATAGCACCTTGATAGCTTGTAGCTGTGTATAAGGGATAGCTATCCTTGTTAATAGTCTAAGTTCTGTTGGCTGTTCTTAAAGAAAGAAAAAACCCTTTAAAAAGTAGAGAACTGATAGAGCTGTTGAAAAAATAAGGTTGGTTAAAAATCTATACAGTATCACATCCATGGTCTGCCCTTAGTGCATGGTGGTGATGGTTAAACCTGATGACTCAACTGTTCCCACCAACACACAGAATCCTCCTGGGCTCAGTCAGTGGCTGGTATTTGTAAAGATTTCTTTTTTTTAAAGTTAGTTAATTTCTTTAATGAGAGAGTGAAAAAGAGGCGCTCCCAACAGGGTCCCCCCAGTCTCACAGGTAGCCAGGATCACGGACATCACACACACCCCACCTGGACAGGGAGACCTCAGGTCTTGATCCTTTCCCATGTGGCTTCAGCATCTCAAAGCATTGCCTTACCATTGCACCATTTCACCCGTGACAGTACTGTCTGTACTGTCATGCAGTTTTGTTATCTTGGAAGTTGGTCTCATCCAGTAAAAAGAGATTTTTGACATGTCTCATGGAAATAGAGAGGTAGAGAGGAATATCAATCCTGTCCATTAGTATTTAAGATCTTGGCTCTGCTGCTTACTGATAGTCTCATCTGGACTGTGAGAAATAGTAAATGATTTTATAGGGTTGCTGTCATTAGATGAGACTACTTAGAAAGAACTTAACACATATGGGGTACTCAACCTATTTTTCTTTTCAGATAAACTTGGTGGGACCAGCAGATGGTATAATGGTTACATCACTGCACTCTCACATAGCTGACTGGTTTGATTCCCAAACCCAGCATTTTAAAACTCACCCTGGGCACATACTCATGTGTACCCAAAATCCCGAGAGGAGACTGGAGGAGAAGGGATTGCAGCATAGCCATCCTTTGTGGGGATTGATTTCTTGCTTTCTGTCTCTATCTCTCAGCGAGCACATGTACCCTATAGCAAAAATCTCTTGCAAAAAAAAAAAAGAAAGAAATTGAACTTGATTATTGCCAACCTCTTGTTTTCCAGTCACTCTACCTATAGAAGTCTTGTTTCCCTAACTTGATTGTAAACATCTTAAAGGACAATAGTGTAAAGCTCACTTACATGCTGTGTGCTTTCAGATACCCCTTAGTAATATTTTCCCATTTAATACTAATCACAACATTGCAGTGACTAAACCGAGGTACAAGAGGGGAACATGTTTTATGGAATCATTTTGGCAACCCTAGGGTGTAAGTACTGTTATTGTCCTCAATTACAGGTAAGAAAACTGAGGCCTAGAGTAGAGAAGTAACAACATGAGAAGTAGAATCAAGACTAATAAGGATCAAGGGCTACTTTTTGTTTGTTAGTTTGTTTGTTTTTGGAGAGGTTTTTGCTACAGGGCGCATGCGCTCGCCGGAAAGACAGAGACCGAAAGCAAGAAATCACCCCCCAGGGGAGATGGCCATGCCGTACTCCCTTCTCCTCCATTCTCCTCTCAGGATCTTGGGCACGCACACACACGTGTCCGGCGTGAGTTTAAGCCACTGGGTCTGGGACTCGAAGCACAGTTGACTACATGGGAGTCCAGGGACATAGCCATTATGCTAACTACTGGTCCCAAGGGCTACTTTTTCTCATCATTAGCTTTTTCTGCTACACACAGCCTTTTCTATAATTCTTCATGGTATTTAGCAGAATAAGTACTTAATAAGTACTTGATCGTGTGTTGTATTTGATTGAATTATACAAGAAGTCTTCAAAAAAGTTAACAGAAAATGCATAGTATGAAAAACTATACATAGATTTCTTTCTCTCCCCCAACCCCGCCAGGGCACATATGCTCACCAGAGAGAGAGAACCCCCTCTGCAAGTGGGGCATGATCACACCACAATCATCTTTTCTCCATTTCTCTATTCAGTCAAGATTTGGAGCACACACACATGTGTACCTGGCATGTTTCTCGAGCCACCAGAGCCAGGACTCAAACTGCTGTTGGCTATGTAGTACCCAGCTTCCTAGGCACAATGCCTAACTGCTATGCTACGGGGCTGACCAGTTTGCAAGATATTTTGCACCTTAATTTAATTGTACTTTAATTTCATTTTCAACAAACTTTTTGAAGACCCCTTGTCATACGCACTATGCAGGTGGATGAAGAATGGAACTGCAGAACGTAGGTGACTATGTGGTATAAACAAGCCAACCTGTGATATTGCTGAAGGCATAATACTCCCAACAAAGGGATGTGATCCTTGGGAGGCCCCCTGAGAGAAGTGAGAGTGTTTGGATAGTACTTAAACATAGGTAGCATGCAGCTTTGTGTTCTTCCTTCAGGGAAAGGCTCCTTTTTCCCCTTCTGACCCCTGTGTCTCCCTTGCCAGTAAGGCACTGTTTCCATGTTACAGAGACACCATACCATTGCGCTTATGGCTTGGGTCCTCTTTTGTAGCTCTCAGAAGTTTGACACTCTTGTCTGGTTCAAACCCAGAGGGTTCACATCCCAAGTGACAGCACTAGTGAATCTTAGAGCACTCAGGGATTAGGAAAATTGTAATGAATAAACAATGTCAGGGTGTCAGCATTACTTCCTACCCTAAAACCTTAGCTGTACAGATGGGAGTTTGCTAAAGTTTTGTGCTTTTTATTAAAAAATAAAAAAATAAATAAATAATTTAACTTAACTTATTTATTTATTTTAACTTAACCAGAGAGGGACAGAGAGAGAGACAGGGATGGGGGCGGGGGAGGGGTGCTAAAGTAAGCTGCTAGGTCTGGGACTAGAACCTTGATCAGTCATGTGGGACTCTGGTGCCCTTAACCACTACACCCTGCGGGCCCCAAGAGTTTTGTGTCTTTTTTTCCCCAGGGACCAGCAGGTGGCATGGTGGTTAAGGTGCTGGACACTCCCACGTGGCCGACCAGGATTCAAGTCCCCGGACCTGGTGGCTTGCCTTCTCACTTTACCTTTTTCTTTCTCTATCTCTGTCTCTCTCTGGTCAAATTAAAAATAAATGAATGAATAAATAAAATTAAATAAGTAATTATTTTTTTAAAACAGAGTTTTGTGCCTTTTTAAATCTTTGTGTCTATAAAAACGGTGTCAGACTAACTGCTCTGTCAGCACCTCGAAGGTGCTGATACGGACGTGATCTCATCAGTCCTCATGAGCAGCCTCTGAGCTAATTAACACAGGAGTACAGGAGACCCAGAAATGCCCTCCCTTCAGTGCATGGCAGAGTCAGGGACTGCGGCTCTGTGACTCCACACTGTGCCCTTCTCTGTGCCATGCTGCCTCCCCTGGTGTTTTCTGTGGAAAATTTAGAAACGAGAGCCCAGTTAAGGAAACGTTCCTACAGTTCCACTCCTAATCTATTGGTATGTTCCACCTCAGTTCCGTATCTGTGTGTGTGCATGCATTTTTTTCCCCATTAGGTGATTGGGTTCGTGTTGGTTCACAGGCGGCCCTTTTCCACTTCTGAGACACAAACATTTTCCCATATCATTAAAAATGTCCAACATAATTTTCAGTGGCTTTTTTCCATCCCATCACCTCTAAGTATTATTGTTGCTTATCATCCCAGAGATGCAGAGCTTTAATTCAACAACTTCGGGTTTGTTTTCAACCTATCTTCTTTAAGCCGTGAGAACTGAGATAACAGTCTAACATTTAGATGAGATTTAAAGAGAACACAAATTCTTTTGAAAACCACAGGTACTGTAGTTATTTTGCTCAGTGAGGAAGATAGGTAATGTTATATTTAGAAAACTTAACCACAAATCTCAATTTTTTTTTTTTTTTTTTTGCTTTTGCTTTGGTCAGAAAAAAAACAAGCTCCACTGAAGCAAGAAGCTGCCCTCAGCTATGAGCTCGGTGCAAGATCACTCATGATTACCCAGCTTTTCTGCAGCACAGGCAGATCCTCAGGTGAGCTCTCCAGACTCCCAATGCTGAAACAAAAAGAGTGACTGGTTCAGAAGACCGCTCCCTTTTTCTCTCCATCTTTTTACCTTCTGTCCTGTGGTCAGGCAGGCTCTGGTCATTTGTTGAAGGCTGGGTTTGAACTCCTGACCGACAGGAACATGTCAAGCATAGCCCGTGCCTAGGCCTAATGAAGTGAGAGGAGGCTAGGACAGGATCACAGTAACAAGACTGTCAGAAGTACCTGTCTTTCTCTCCCCGCCGCCTCCCACCTGAGGGCCTCCCACCTGGCTCCAGCATTGTGCAGGAGTACATGTCACCTACACCACTGACCCCAGGTCCCTTTATTTTGTCTTATTTTTTAAAGAATTATTCTCTTTGGGGCCAGCAGATAGTGTAGTGGTTATGTCGCTGGACTCCTATATGGCTGACTGTGGTTCAAGTCCTGGACCCAGTGACTTGAAACTCACACCGGATGCATGTGCATGCATGACCAAGATCCTGGGAGGAGACTGGAGGAAAAGGGATTGTGTCATGGCCATCCCCCCTTGGGGGCGATGTCTCAACTTTCCACTGTCTCTCTCTCCCCTACCCCAGTGATTGCACATGCCCCAAGGCAATAAAACCTGTAAAAAAAAAAAGAAAGAAAGAAAGATAAGAACTATTCTATTTAATTGTATTCATTATTATTTTTAAATTTGATCAGAGAGAGTAATAGGGAAAGTGAGAAAGCAAGCCACTAGGTCTGGGATTCAAACCATGATCGGCCATGTGGGTGTCCAGCATTTTAACCACCATGTCACCTGCTGGCCTGAGGCTCCCTTTATTTTATTTTTTTTATTTATTTTTTTTTTTAGAGGTTTTTGCTATAGGGCGCGTGCGCTCGCCAGACAGACAGAGAGAGACATAGAGACAGAAAGCGAGAAATCACCCCCCAGGGTGGTCACGCCACAATCTCTTCTCCTCCATTCTCCTCTCAGGATCTTGGGCACGCACACACATGTGCCCGGCGTGAGTTTTAAGCCACCGGGTCCGGGATGCGAACCGCGGTCGACTACGTGGGAGTCCAGCGACATAGCCATTACGCTAACTGCTGGTTCCCAGGCTCCCTTTATTTTTATGCTGGCCACAGAGTAAGCAGATAGATGAATAAAATAATGGTGATAGCAAATGACCATGTTTGATTACTGTCTCATGTCATTGCGTGGTAAAATAGATGTTGACTGTTCAACCTCTATTGTGGATTGGTCCAGAAAATTCAAATATCTGGGAGTCTTTGACATAAAGGACTTGTAGTTTGAATTAGAGTTTCATGGGTGGGGTTGATTCCCTAAACCTGTACAGAGCCCACCTGTCCTCCTTGTCAGGCACTGTGCTCTTTCTCTTAGGAAATGCCTCTATTGGGCCAGGTGGTGGCACAGTGCTAATTCAGTTGGACCCATGTGGGGAAGGTCCTGGGTTCATGTCCTTGGACCTCCTTGAGCACACTGGGCCAGCTGAGGCCAGGTAGACCATAGTGTGAAAACCTTGTTGGGTATTCTCTCTCTCATAGAAGAAATAAATAAGCTTTTAGAAAGTGTAGCTGTTTCATAAAGGCCATGGCACCCCTGGTCTTGGTGAGCAGAATGGGAGGAGCTGGTAGGAAGTTGGCATGGGTGCCAGGAGCACGATGAGCACTGTGAAGGGCACTGGAGTGTTCTGAGTATCTCTGTGGTGGCCCACATCCCGGCCTGCCCTTTGTTCTTGAGTCTCTTTGTGTGCTTTTCCACACAGTGATCTAAACAGCTCCTCGCATGTTCCTGGCAGGGTTTGTGCAAGGTGGCAAACATGTTCACCGTATCTCAGACCTCGAGAGCATGGTTCCTCGACAGAGCCCGTCAGGCACGAGAGGAGAGGCTCGTGCAGAAGGAGCGGGAGGGGGCGGCCGTGGATATCCAGGCCCACGTCCGGAGCTTCCTCTGTCGGCGTCGACTACAGAGAGACATCAGGTCGGTGCTAGAGTTCCCTCAGCACGTTTCTCTCTAGCTCTCAACCAATAAAAAATGCATGAGTCTTCTCTTTCATGTACTCGAAAAACCTTTTAGGTGTGGTGAGCTTCTGATTAAATGTCTTTTTTTCATGCTTCCCTCTCCAGGAGAGAGATCGATGAGTTTTTTCAAGCAGATGACTCTGGGTGCAGTAAAAGAAGCGCACTTTGTATTTTTAAGATTGCCAGGAAACTTCTGTTCTTATTCAGAATTCAAGAAGATAATGAGGTATGATGATAATGGCAAACGTGTGCAGTACTTCACATAGATCAGGTCTTTCTGTAAGTATGTTATAAATATTAACTCATCTGTCCTTACAGCAGCACTAAGGTGTTTTCACCCCTACATCCTGCCCCCTTTTGCTCTCATAGAACCTATCTTGTAGGGATACCACTGGTGTTTCTGAGAATTCTTTTCACTCAATTTTTTTTTTTCTTGGAGAGGTTTTTGTTATAGGGCACATGTGCTTGCCAGAAAGACAGAGAGACAGAAAGCGAGAAATCACCCCCCGGGGGGAATGACCATGCTGCAGTCCCTTCTCCTCCATTCTCTTCTTGGAATCTTAGGCACACATGCACATGCGCCCAACATGAGTTTAAGCCACCGGGTCCGGACTCTAACCGTGGTCGACTAGACTACATTGGAGTCCAGGAATGGTGCCATTATACCATCTACTGGTTCCTGATCTTGTTTTTCAAAAGAAGTCCCAATCTGGAATTTTATGTGAAATATGCCAATTTATTTAATTTTATTTTTAGAGGTTTTTGCCCTAGAGTGCGTACCCTTGGAGGAGAGAGAGAGGGAGACAGATAGTGAGAATGTAAGCAAGAAAAATCACCCTCTTGGGGGGATGACCTCATTGCAATTCCTTTTTCTCTTGGGATCTTGGGTATGCACATACATGCACCCAATGTGAGTTTTAAGCCACCAGGTTCGGGACTCAAACCTTGTTGCCCATGTGAGAGCCCCGCAATGTAACTACTGCACTATCTACTGGTCTCGCCAATTTCTAAAATGTGTCTTTTGGGCCCTCCAGTCCATGGGCCACCAATTGGAGACCCTTTTTTTTTTCCCTAGCCTTTCTGCTCCTCAGTTTCCCCGTCCGTAAGCAGGCAGTAAGTACGGTCACGTATGTGCGTCACCTGGCATGGTGACTGCACATGCCGAGGACCCGCCAAACCTCTGCCCCCTTCTCTTTCCCAGTCTGTGGTTGGTGTGGGAATTTACAGCCCATCCTGCCTCTTTGCAGAGATTCGAGAAGTTGTGTCGTTGCATCCTGAGCAGCATGGAGGCTGAGCATGAGCCTAAGGTACGTGGGACGGGAGCCGGGCTGTCTCTGAGGGTCAGCATTGGGTTCCAAAAGTTCCTAGCAAGCCTGAGTTCACACAAACATGACGAGTCTCCACAGATGTCATGGGACGGCCATATTATGGGGAGAAGTGCACGGATTTCCATTTTTTTGCACCAAGATGAACTAGTACTCAATTCCATTTCTCTATGTGTTTTTTTTTTTTTTTCCAATTCCCCGAATATAAGTAAGGCATGGATGGAATACATGAACAAAACATGAGTGATTCCTTAGTCTCGTCATTATCCAGGACACCATGTTCTGCTTTTTCTCTCACTCAGTATTGTAACTTCTCGTCTTTGGGTTTAATAAGCTATAGTTGCTGTTTATCCATCTGTCCATCCTCACCGCGCTGTCAGGCTCAACCTGGCTGGGAGGTCCAGCTCCCATAGTTAGACCACGTGTAATACGATCCCAGTAGCTGCTGTGACATTCCTCGTTCTCCTGCTTGTAGGTGTGGTATGTGTCCTTGGCTCTTTCCAAGGATCTCACCCTCCTGTGGATTAAACAGATCAAGACCATTCTGTGGTATTGCTGCCAATTTCTGAACCAGCTCAAGGTAAAACAGAACAAAACAAAAAACTGCAAGCATATCATTCTCATCTGGAACCTTTAGTCTGCGTTTTCAGAGTCCCCTCCATTCCCTGATAGGTGATGCCTTTGGAGGCTTACCGGACAGAGCAGTAAAGAGGTATCAGTTGAGCCCCTGTTGTGGGAGAGGGCAGGGTAGGTACTGTTAGGATGAGCCCCTCTGTGGTGGCCAGGATATTGAGGACTGGCTGTGCTTGTCCCAGCCTCAGTGCCAAAAACTCTGCTGTCCTCCCATCCTTTGACGTGGTGAAGACTTTAAGGTCCATATTGTTACAGTAGTTAGGCCCCTCATTACAAGTCTGGAACCCCAGCATGAATGCTGCTGGTAGCACCTACAGGGTAAGCAAGAAAGCGCACTTGTTACAGACTGTAGTCCATAAATGGCAGCTGCGGGGCACTCGAGCCAGGGGCTTCTGGATTCTGTCATCCTTTTCTCTCATCTCTGCTCCCTTTTGGGGTCACCTCATCCTTCCCTGCTGTGATCATGGCAGCCAGCGTCCTGACTTCACGTCCTCACTCTGTCTTGACCAAAGAAAGAAGGGAGGCCTCCCCTACCAGTTCAGATAGCCAGGAGGACTCTGAGAGGCCCAGTGGAATCCAGGATTTTTCTCTGAACCAATCAGGGCAGCAAGAGGCCTGGGGTGCTGCCACTGGCCCAGCCAGGTCCTGTGCCCACCCTTGCGTTTCGAGAAGGTGGGCGGGGTGCCATCCGATGTGAACAGCAACCACTTTCAGTTCGCACACCTGGAGGGAGAGGTCTCAGGGACGAGGCCTGACAAGGACCCAGGTAGCAGCTAAGTGAAGGAGCAAATGTCTTCAGCCCCTACCCTGGTCCATTGCCAGCATCTTGGACGTCCATGGGTGGCTCTGGGCCACCCCTGAGCTAAGGCAGCGAGCCAGTGGCAAGCCATGCCCCACTTGCCAGGATAGGCGTTGTGACTCAGAGCAGTTCTCTGGAGCCCTCGGGTCCCTCCACAGTGCCCCAGGGCCAAGCAGAGGGTTATTCCCTATCTTCACTTAAGCCAGACACATCCTCTGTTAGCTGTTTTCTGAACCATCTTTGAGAAGAAGCTCTTCTACTCTGAAAAAATAAAAGAAGTTGTGTAAAGACACACTGGGATAAAAAAGCACTAGAGGGGCTGGCAGGTGGTGTGGTGGTTAAGGATGCAGGACTTCCACACGCTGACCTCGGTTCTGGTCCCGGACCTGGCAGCTTGCTTTCTCACGCACTGGATCAGGAGACAGAAGATCTGAAACTGAGTCCTAATTCTTTTGCATTTCCCACATGGCTTTGATAAAATCATTGTTCGTGTCTCGTTCTCTGTGAGGCTAGGGTTTAAGCTTGACGGTCTACGTACTCACAGTCTCGGAGCCTAGCAGGGAGTCGGGGCTTTGGCCCAACCTGCTGTAGTGAGCCAAGGCTATCACCATCATTACAACAGTAGCACCATCACATGGCTGTGTGTGCCAGGCACTGTTCTTAGTGCTTTGTGTTTGTATTCCTCCCAGCAACCCTTTGGGAAAGAAGCATTATTATCCCTAGTCAACAGATAAAGAAACCAAGGCCCAGAGAGGTTAAGAAACTTGCCCAGGGTCACACAGCTAGCAAGTGTAAAGCCGGAAATCTGAGCCCTGGGTTCTGTGGTGCTCAGTTGTGCTTCTGTCATGTTACCATGGTGTTTGTGTGTATATGCACATATACACGTCCAGACAGCTGGCCAGTCCTGGTCACCTTGTCTTCCAAGAATTCCCAGTGCTCATGAGTATTTGATTCTGTTTTGTTACCAAAGTGGTCATTCCCCCAAGAGAAAAAGAATAAAGCCTTCACTTAAAATCCTGACTCCCTCCTTCCAGCCTGAGAATACGCAGGAAAGTTGTGAGACAGATGCCCCAGGGTCTGGGTCGGAGGTGCGTGTCCTCATCTTCCTCGCTTTATCCTTTCCAGCCCGAAATCTTGCAGGACTCCAGACTCATCACGCTGTACCTCACGATGCTCGTCACCTTCACAGACACTTCAACGTGGAAAATCCTCCGGGGAAAAGGTCTGTGGGACTTGCTTCAAAATCTCTCCTAGCCAGCATTTCCATAGGGAGCATGGGGGACTTTTTCTCCTTTCTAAGAAGCATCTTTGCCACCACCAGCCTCAGGGAAGACCCTCGGAACCTTCTGTCAGCCTACACCCAAGTGTCCAGGATACACTCAGTGCCGTGTGTCACACTCTCCCTTCTTGCAGTTTCCATTTACAGGCATGGTTCTTCTGGTTGCGTTTTTTATAACTCCCGTACTCCTCAGCCTCCGTGTGTTAGCATTCACTTCAGCCTTGGCATTGCCCTTGGAAAAGCCTTAGGTAGCAAACTGTTCTTTTCTGCCATAGAATCTGCTTTGTAAAACTGCCTCCTTCCCCGACGGTTGTCCTGAGCTTTACGTGTCTCATGTGCTCGTGATGTTCATCCAGTCCCACTATGTGCCAGACAGGGTACTAGGCACCGGAGAGACAGCGATGGGGTAAAACTGAGCAGCTCGTGATGTTCATCCAGTCCCACTATGTGCCAGACGGTGTACTAGGCACCGGAGAGACAGCGATGGGGTAAAACTGAGCAGCTCGTGATGTTCATCCAGTCCCACTATGTGCCCGACGGTGTACTAGGCACCGGAGAGACAGCAATGGGGTAAAACTGAGCAGCTCGTGATGTTCATCCAGTCCCACTATGTGCCAGACGGTGTACTAGGCACCGGAGAGACAGCGATGGGGTAAAACTGAGCAGCTCACTGCTCTCCAAGGACTTTTAATGCCTATTCCTCACGGGCCTAGAGTCTGATAGGGGAAACATGTTAAATTGGAGTCGCTCACATGTATGTCCAACAGCGCAGTGTTGTGAGCATGCAAAAGGGAGTTCAGGAGAAATGCAGGTGTCTAGTGTGGTGGGGAGGCCTTGTATGGTGTGGGGCTCTGACTTTCTTGAGAAATCGTGCCCAGGGAACCAGCAGTTAGCGTAATGGCTATGTCACTGGATTCCCACATTGTCAACCCGCGGTTCGCGTCCCGGACCCAGTGGCTTAGAACTAACGCCGGGCGCATGTGCGTGTGTGCCCAAGATCCCAAGAGGAGAATGGAGGAGAAGGGATTGCGGTGTGACCATCCCCCCTGGGGGGTGATTTCTCGCTTTCTGTCTCTCTGTCTCTCTCTGTCTGTCTGTTGAGCGCACGTGCCCTATAGCGAAAAACCTCTCAAAAAAAAAAAAAAAAAAAAAGAAATCGTGCCCTAACTGAGAGCTGGAGGGCCTGTTGGAGTCCATAGAGTGCGGAGGAGGGACGATACTGTGGAAGAGAAAGCTGCGTGTACAAAGGCTCCTCATCAGCAAGGAAGGCTTGCTTCTGGGCATTGTCTTAGACTCCGGGAGGGACCTAGAGATTGTTCTGGGCCCTGCAGAGAGCTTATGTCCCAATGGGCAGCACAGGCAGCCATGGAGAGTAAGAAGAGTAAGAAGTGCCAGGCCCTAGGGGGAACTAGAAGAAGTTCTCTGGGAGCTCAGAGGTCAGAGATGTTACTTCTTGCAGGGGAATGATAGGCCCCCATTGCCCAGGTGACAGTCTAGCCAAGTTTTCCAGGAGCGAGAGAATGCTGGGACACAGTGACTCCCTGTCCTCTGTTCCAGACCTCATAGGCAGGGCAGGCAGCCGCGACATCTCCTTTCCTTACGGCCTGGGGTATCATTTCCTGTCCCACAGAAACAGGTCACATGTCGTGAGTTGTTTCTCTCTCTCTCTGTCTCTCTCTAACTTCTCTCTGTGCTTAGGTGAGAATCTTCGGCCTGCCATGAACCACATTTGTGCAAACATAATGGGACATCTTAACCAGCGTGGATTTTATTCTGTGCTTCAGGTCTGTGACCCCAATCCCTAATACTTGGTCTTCCCACTCTCCAAGGCCTTTGCTTGGATTTTTACGTTAAGTTTGCAATTTTTCACAGGAAGAGTTTAATGCCCAGCATCCTGTCCTATCTCCCTCTGGCTCAGGTCACTATGGTTCAGATAAAGGGAGGACAGTGATACTGGAGTTCCTTTAATGCTCTACAGTTTGGGGTACAGGAGTGAGCCATTCTCTTTATGTTTAAGCTCAGGAAGGAACCTCAGGGCTTACCCACCTTGTACCATTCATACCTCCTGGGTATTAGCAGAAGCCAAACTGCTGTTTAAAAGTTCTTCGGAGGGACCAGAAGATGGCATAATGGTTATGTTGCTGGGCTCCCACATAGTCGATTGTGGTTTGAGTCCTGGACCCAGCAGCTTAAAAATCATGCTGGGCACATTTTCGTGTGTGCCCCAGATCCCAAGAGGAGTATGGAGAAGGAATTATGGTGTGGCCATCCCCCTTGGGGGGTGATTTCTTGCTATCTCTCTGGCTCACTCTGTCTCTCTGGTGAGTACATACACCCTATAGCAAAAATCTCTTTAAAAAGAAAGAAGGAAGTTCTTTGGAATTCTCGAGTGTGAGAAGTAGCATCAATTTGCCCTACCTCCTGCCTGGCACCGTGGCGAACTATTCCAATTTAATTTCATTTTGTCCTCACAACAATCCATGAGGTGGTATGAGGGCAAGAGGTGTTGACGTTGATGGGCTGTCTCAGTAGGGGAAGCCTCTACCTGACACCATACTGGACTGCTTCTAAAGCACTAGGCTGTTTAGGTAGACATTTTGAGTCATACCATTTTGGTTATCTGTTTTTTTAATTTATTATACGTTTTAAATGTAACATTTAGATTAGGGAGGAAGTGGTAGAATAAACCTTCATACCCAATGCTTTTCTTCCCTTTCCTTTTTAAAAAAAAAAAAGATTTATTTATTTATTTTAAAATTTATTTGGAGAGGTTTTTGCTATAGGAAACGTGCACTCGCCGGAAAGACAGAGACAGAGAGACAGAAAGCGAGAAATCACCCCCTGGGGGGATGGCCACACCACAATTCCTTCTCCTCCATTCTCCTCTTGGGATCTTGTGCACGCATGCACACGCACCCAGCATGAGTTTAAGCTACTGGGTCCAGGACTTGAACTGCGGTCGACTACATATGAGTCCAGTGACATGGCCATTACACCAACTGCTGGTCCCCCAAAAATTATTTTTTAAGTTTGCCTGAGAGTGTATGTGCTTGCCAGAGAGAGAAAAAGAGGGAAAGTGAGGGATTACCCCCTACACTTGGAGCATGGTCATGCCACAGTCCCTTCACCTCCATTTCACTCCTTCTGGGATTTTGGGTGTGCACACATACTCACCTGGTGTGTTTTTCAAACCACTAGGTCTGGAACTTGAATCACAGAGTCAGCCCTGGGTGATCTAGCTGCCATAACCACCGTAACATGGACTGGCTCTGCCTTCATTGCCCCCCCCCCTTTAAAAGAATTATCTTATTTAACTTTATTTATTTATTTATTTTAATTTGACCAGAGAAGAACAGTGAGAAAGAGAGAGAGGTGAGAGAGAGAGAGATGGAGAAAGTGGGAAAGCAAGCCGCCAGGTCTGGGACTCAAACTGTGGTCAGCCATTTGGGCATCTAGCGCCCTTGACCCCCATGCCACTTGCTGGCCCCATCCCTTCCCTTTTAAAAATAAAAAATCCATACAGCCTTTTTATGTGAAGTACTCATTTACTTTTTTCTTCTTAGTTTTTTTGCTATAGGGCATGTACACTTACCAGAGAGAGGCAAAGAAAGAAATCACCCCTCAGGGGATGGCCATGCTGCAGTCCCCTCTCCTCCATTTTCTCTTGGGATTTTGGGCATTCATATTCATGTGCCTGGTGTGGAGTTTAAGCTGCCAAGTCTGGGACTGAAACCTGGTTGGCTATGTGGGAGTCCAGTGCCTTATTGTCCCTGACCAGTTGCAATGTTTTTTTCAGGTGTTGCTAACCCGTGGCCTGGCAAGACCCCGGCCGTGCCTGTCCAAAGGCACGCTAACAGCAGCCTTTTCTCTCGCATTGCGGTGAGTGAAAGCCCCAGCTGAGGTGGTGTCCTGCTCCTGAGCACCTCCTCCTGGCTTTCTTTTCTTTTATTCCTGGTAATACGTAAGGACTTGCGGACTCCACTTGCGGACTCCACTTGTGGACTCCGTCAGGATCTGCAGGAAGTGTTGCTCTTAGTGAGAATGATACATTGTGACTGCTCAAACTTTATCTTTTTTGAAAATGTATTCCTTTCCTGACCTTTCCTGAGAGTGCAGCCCTGGAAAGACAGGCACCCTCAAAGGGGTCCCACACTGCAGTCAGCCTCCCCTCTCACCGAACCTTTCAGCCAGCCAGGACCACTGGCACACATACCCCACCTGATGGTCAACTCAGGAATCAAACCTCAATCTTCCACGTGATGTCTGATATTACAAAGTGTTGTGCTGTTGCTACATCACCATGGCTAGGCTAATTTTTTTTTTTTAATGCCAGAGAGAGAAAGAGTTAAGAGACCATCATCTTTTTCAAGACACCAAGGCTAGGACGCAAACCTTAGTTGGCCCTGTGGGATCTAGCTTCCCCTATGCAATTCTTAACTATGTGGCACCAGCCCTCCAAGCCTTCCCTTAATCTTCAGTCTGTCCCCCTGAATATTTTGCAGCGTGACCCGAGGAAACTTCACACTGAGTTGCTTTCATTCTTCCAGTGACCATGATGCACTCTATTAGTTTTCCTTTTGAGTTTCTACTTGACAAAATAAAGGAAACCTAAGAGCTAGAGCAAGCGTAACGAAGGGTGGAGTAGGAGGGTTAAGGGAATAGCGCCATGAACACAGGCTGAAAATAACAGAACTCAGAGGACCAGAGGGGACAGTGTGCCCACCTTTACTTAGTACTTAAGAAGCTAGGTAGTTCCTTATAGAACGTACACCTACGATTCTGACAGCCACCAAATGTAAAAAACTATGCTTGCTGATGGGTCCAGAACGTTCTTAAACTATTGAAGGACACTAACTTGAAGAGACGTTCACAAGAGCTTCTGGAGGAGAGTGTCATGGTCAAACCAGCTTGATGAAAGCCCCCTGCTTCCCCGCCCCCACCGCCAAACCATAGTGCACCTTAGTGCCGAACGCTTTGAGAAGTCCTGCAGTGGGAGCAAGGCCCCTTGGGTGTGTTTCACCTGATATTGGCCTAAACACATCTGTTCAGGGGCTACCCACCCCTGCCTCAGTTTTGGATGGTGGAGCACATCTGTTAATATACAAGGGAGAGTCTAAAGCATGGGTTGGCAAATTTTTTTGTTTTTCTATTTTTAATTTGCCAGAGTGCATGTGGACTCTCCAGAGAAAAACAGAGACAGGGAGAGGAAGAAAGCACCACCCTTCAATGGGGCATAGTCATGCTGCAATGGCTTCTCCTCTATTTCTCTCTCCTGTTGAGATTTGGGGCACACACGCCCCATGTGTTTTTCAAGCCAGGTCAGGGATTCGAACTACATGTTTGGCCATGTGAAATCCAGCTTCCTTAGCCATAGGCCACAGGGCCAGCCCCTGGCAAGCTTTTTCGGTAAAGGGCCAGATAATCTTTCCAGCTCTGTGGCCCAGACACCTCTGTCACAACTACTCTGCTATTGGGACCAGTAGTTAGTATAATGGCTATATCACTGGACTCTCATGTAGTTGACCACGGTTCAAGTCCCGGACCCGGTGGCTTAAACTCACACCAGGCGTGTGTGCGTGTGTGCCCAAAATCCCGAGAGGAGGATGGAAGAGAAGGGATCGTGGCGTGGCCATCCCCCCTAGTGGATGATTTCTCACTTTCTGTCTCTCTGTCTCTCTCTGTCTTTCTGTGAGCGCATGCACCCTATAGCAAAAACCTCTCCAAAAAAATTATAAACCACACACATAAGAAAAGAAAGAAAGAAAAAAGGAATTCCGTTCTTTGGTTGCATTAGCCACATTCTGAGTACTCAGTAGCCCCAAGCGGCTAGCAACAACCGCACTGGACAGCACGAATACTTATTTCCATCCTCACAGAGTGCTCCATTGGGCACGGTCCTCGAGAGCAGGTCTGTCCCATAGAAACATGAGGGAACTTTCATAGAATCTTTTGAAAATGCAATTGAAATATATTTTATTTTATTACGAGCATTTCAGTCTTATAAACTTGTCTCTAAGATGGTATTCTAGTAAATAAAGGTCTGTAGTATGAACCCCAGTACTCTAAAGTACCAGAACTCTAAAGTACCAGCTCATTGATACTGGAGCTTAAAGAGACCATATTTTCCCAGTAAGTGTTTCTCATTGTCTTTTCCCCTTGTATGGCCTCAGTGTTATTTTTAAAAAACATCTCAACTGGAGTATAACTCACATATCATACATTGCGTTTATTTGAAGTATACAGTTCCGTGACACTTAGTATATTCACAAAGCTGTGTAACCATCACCACTAATTCCAAAACATTTTCGTCACCCTGAAAAGAAACTCCGCTCATGAGCAGTCACTCTCCTTTTCCCTCTCTCAGAACCCCTGGCAACACCTTGTCTGCACTCTCTCTCCTAAATCTGCCTGTTCTGGGCATTCCACCTAATGGCATCATACCGTATGTGGTCTTTTGTTGCCGTCTTTTTTCACTTTGCATGATGTGTTTAAGGTTCATCCACGTTGTAGCTTGACTCAGTACTTCATTCGTTTTCATTGTAAGAATATGCTACATTTGGTACAGCCAACTCAGAAGTTTGGGTTGTTTCCACCTCTGGGGAATTCTGAATAGTGCCGCCGTGAGCGCTTACGTACAGGTTTCTATGTGAACATACGTTCTCATTTCTCTCGTGTATGTTCCTGGGACTAAAATTGCTGGGTCACGTGCTCACTCTGCGCTTAAGTTTTTGAAGAACTACCAAACTCTTCCAAAGCGGCTGTACTGTTTTACGTTCTAGCCAGTAGGTATGAGGGTTCCAGTTCCTTCACACTCCTGCCGAACACTCGTTTTCATCCTAGCTGTTTTAGTGGGTGTGAGGCAGTGTCTCACTGTCGTTTTGATTTGCAGTCCCCCGATGGCAAATGATGTCGACCATGGGCTTCCTAATTATTTGCATCTCCTCTTTGTAGAAATGTCTCTTTAGATCCTTTGCCCATTTGTAAGTTGAGTCATTCGCCTTTTATTATTGCGTTGTATGAGTTCATTACATGATCTGGATGCAAGTCTCTCATCAGGTAATAATACGATTTGCAATTGTTTCCTCTCATTCTGTGGTTTATCATCTCACTTTCTCATTGGTATCTTTTGAATTACTAAAGTTTTTAATTTTGATGAAGTGAAATTGATGTGTTTTTCATTTTGTCTTTTCTGTGTTTGGTGTCATATTTTAAAAATCATGGCTTAACTGAAGGTCACAAAAATTTACTCTTACATTTTTTCCTAAGAATTTTATAGTTATTAAAGAAGCATTTAGGTCTGTCATCCCTTCCCCCCCCCCTTTTTTTTCCTTAAGTTAGTTTAATTCACTCATGAGAGAGAGACAGAGACACAAACCTAGGTACCCTGGACGAGGGTTTCACCATGCCTTGATCTCTCCAGCCCCCGGGGTCACAGGCTCACACGGGTGTGCCCAGTGTGTTCGGGTCACTGTGATCTGAACCCGGCTTCCCACGTGCTGCAGTGTGGAGTCACAGTGGTGCCCTGCGGCCCACACCACTGCAGCTGGGCTTGTGATCATCCTGAGTTCATTTTTTAATATGATGTAAGATGGGGTCATTATCTAACTTTAATGATATTTATCTTTTGCTGATTATGGAAGCAATATGCTTACTCCATAAAATATAGATAAAGCAAAAGAGTGTAAGGAAGGAAAAACTTTCTCCTGGTTTTACAACCAAGAAATATAGTAATACTTTTCAAATCTGTCTTTCAGTCTTTTTAAAATGTATATACATTTATATATTTTTAGATACTAATATGCTCTCTCTATATGTATATTTAAATAAATCGCTTAATTAAAGTATGAATTATTGATGAGTTATCGTCCAGTGACCCTGGATAAGCATCACCCACTGAGAAATTGATGGACCCAGCACCCCAAGCCCCTTTGGTCCTCCCTTCCCATTACAAGCCCTCCCTGCTATCCCAGGTATGTAGTTTTTGTTATCCTACTTTTTTATGTAAAAATAAAAAAATTTAATTTCCAGAGGGCACATGTGTTCAGCAGAGAGACAGAGAGATAGAGGAAGAGAAAGCCCCTCTTACCACCCACACGGCATGTAGTCGTTCCATAATCCCTTCTTCAATTCTCTATCTTATCAGGATTGTGGGTGTGCATGCACACATGCCCCGTGTGTTTCTCAAGCCATCAGGGCTGGGATTCAAACTGCAGTCAACCTTATGTCGACCACATGTTAACCACTAGACCATGGGGCCAGGGGCCAGCCTTCCTGCCTTTTTTTTTTTTTTTGAATTTTATTGCTGTTATTATTGTTAATTTGCTATAGGGCATATATGTTCACCAGAGAGAGAGAATGAGAAAGCAAGCTGCCAGATCCTTGACTCGAACCACAAATGGCCATGTGGGAATTGAGCACCCTAAATACCACACCCCCTGCTGGCCCCTGCCTCCCCTTCCCCCTTAGTTTATTGATTTCTTTCATGAGAGAGAAAGAAAAAGACCCCAACAGGGTCTTCACCCAGTATTCCCCCCGCCCCCAGCCTCAGCCAGCTCAGGATCACAGGCATACATGTGCCTGGAACACACAGGGAGCCTTTGGGACGTGAACCCAGGACCTTCTCATTTGGGCTCAGCATAGCAGATGTTACGTTATCGCTGTGCCACTGCAGCTGGCCTCCTGCTTTATTTTTTCTTCCTTTAATAATTTTTATAGCTTGAGTATTTTCTCGTGTCAGTAAAACTTCAGCATGCATCACGTCATTGATCTCACCGTTTCCCTGGTGTGCATCTCCACTTTCAGCCTTTCATTTTCCTGAAAGTCCTAGGAAGCATAGTTTCTAGGGTTGGCGAGCAGCGGGCTGTGTAGCCGCTGTGCATGCGCAGACCTGCCTGAGCACGCCCCTCTGTCCGTGTCTAGCCCTGTGGTTGCTGCACAGTTCTCAGACAATCTGCTCCGCCCCTTCCTCATCCACATCATGTCCGTGCCTGCTCTCGTGACCCATCTCAGCACAGTGACGCCTGAGGTAAGTGGGCTGCGAGTTACCCCCGAAAGCCAGCTCTCAGAAGTCAGAACGTAAAATGTCTTTGCTAATTTCCACCACCTCCCCTGAGTTTTCTTCTAAACCAGCAGCCATAGACACGTTCGTGTCAGTGGCCCAAAGAGTAGGTTCTCGTCCCTGTCCATGTTCTTAGTACTCCGTAGTTGGTCCCATATACCAGGTGCTGGGTGACCTGCAGGCCACTGAGTTCAGGCCTGCGTGGGAGCATCGTCCTATCAGTATCCACATTAACGGTCTGCAATTGTTCACAGCGCCTCACGGTTTTAGAATCTCATGACATGCTTCGTAAATTCATCCTGTTTTTAAGAAATGAAGACCGATGCCGTGACGTGTGTGAATGTTTAGAAGGATGCCACACGCTTTGTCTGATGGGTGAGTGTCCTGGGCCGGCATTCGATTGGATTCTGGCCATCAGGGTAAGCCTGGGCGTGTTGCTTCTACAGATCATGAATCGTCTTTAGTGGCAGTTGGAAGTGCTTGAGAGGTGGGTTGAGGGCCTCCCAGAGCTGGGATTTGAGGTCAGCTCGGCCTGTCCCCCACACCGCACTGCAGCCTCCAGCACAGGCAGGTGCCCCCACGTGGAGTCCCGCCTGCACGTTTGATGCTTACTGAGGACCAGGAGGCACTGGAGCACGTCTGCCTGGGCCACTCACTGGGCCTTCTCTCTGCAGGCAACCTCCTGCACCTGGGCTCTCTCAGCCCCCGAGTGCTGGAGGAGGAGACCGACGGCTTTGTGAGTCTGCTCACCCAGATGCTGTGCTACTGTCAGAAGTACGTGTCCCAGAAGAAGTCCAACCTTACCCACTGGCACCCTGTCCTGGGCTGGTTCTCCCAATCCGTGGATTATGGGTGAGTCCCAGACCCAGAGCACTGCCTCTCCACCTCTCTCGCCACCTCCATCGTCTCCCTTCTTTCTCTGTTCTAGCTTCTCTGGTTCTGCAAAAACCGTAAGTATGCATTCTTTAAAATATGGATAAGACCAGAAGAGAGTATAATCCTATTACCCAAAGCTAACCTAAATGAATATCTTTTCAGTCTTTTTCTATCTTGATAGATATTTTTTTCTTTTACAAAATGTGATCCTATTACAGGTTGACTGTCCCTTAACCCAAGTGCTAGGGACCGAGAGTGTTTTAGATTTGAGTTTTGTTGTTTCACTTCAGATTTGGGAATATTTGCATATACATAATGAGATATCTTAGGGATGGCACCCAACTCTAACACAAAATTCATTTCATTTTTATATATGCCATATATGAGAGGGACTTCAAGAAGTTTGTGGAAAACGGGATTGAAATATAAGTTTATTTTTCTATGAAAAATTTTTGAACTCTGCCTAATTTTTTTATAATATGCATTTTTTTAAAAAAACATCAGTTTAAAAGTTATTTAATTTTATTTTTTATTATTATTATTTTATAATTTGTTATAGGACATGTGTGCTCACCAGAGAGAGAGAGAAAGTGAGAAAGCAAGCCTCCAGGTCTAAGACTTGAACCACAGTTGGCCATGTGGGAGTCTAGCACTTTTAACCACCACGCCACCTGCTGGCCCCATAACATATATTTTCAGTGAACTTTTTTGAAGACCCTCTGGTATACATAGCCTAAAGGTAATCTTCTACAATATTCCGTACTGCCCTGTGTGGACTCCAGTTCATCACATGATGTCAGGTGTGGAATTTTCCCCTTGTGGTAGTTATGTCAGCACTCAGAAAGGTTCTGACTTCAGAGCATGCTGGGTTTCAAATTTTGGGTTTAGGGATGTTCAACCTTTATTTTATATTTTGTTCTTTTCATTAGATATTTTTAACCTGATCTATCGACAGTATCTTCTTCCACATCCCTTTCATTGACTAGACCGACATTGTGGAGGTGCTAGAATAAGACAGATGGGGAATGGAAGTCACCCCAGAACCTTTTCCAAATGTGGGATTTGCATTTCTTTTTTTTTTTTTTTTAATTCAAAACGCAAAAGCAGGACCAGTCTATGGCATGGCGGTTAAAGTGGCTAGTTCCCACATGGCCAACAGTGCAGTTCAAATCCCGGACCCAGTGGCTTGAGAAACACACTGGGCATGTGTGCGTCTGTGCCCAAAATCCTGAAAGGAGAGAGTGATAGAGGAGAAGGGATTGTGGCATGACCATCTCCCATGGGAGGTACTTTTCCACTTTCCTTTTTTCCTTTTTTTTCCCTTTCCAGCGAGACCTCTGGCAACATTAGAAAAGAGAGGGAGCGTGTGCTCAAAAGTATTAGAGACGCTAGGCTAGAGAACGGGAGTCAGATAAGGTAGCCGCACAGATGGGAAACGTGCACTCTGAGCTGACATGATGCAGGCTCTGGAGCTGTGGCAGCTGTGATGCTCAGCTGTTTGGCTGGTCAGATGTCTGCCTGAGGCTTGGGTTCCCTGGCCAGTGCTCATGAAGTAGAAAGCTGAGAGCTGGGATGTGCTCCCTTTTCCTCATACCTGAGTGACATCTCGGCTCCCAAGTCACTTATGAAGGTCCATTGCCAGAGGTTGGCCTGCCCAGTGTGACTCGTCACCCTGATGACGTGTGTGTTGAGAGGTAGGGTGGGCAGAATCACACCTAGGTGGGCGGCCTGGTCTCAGTCCCACTTCCTCTTCCCTGAGGACCATGGCCAACTAGCGTCACCTCTATTTCCTCATCTGAAATGTGGGAGTAGTTTTCAGAGTCCCTCTGAAAGAGTTGCCTCATGGGATTGAATGAGACAACCCATACAAAGGGCTGACCACTAGGCCTGGCCCAGGCTCAGTGAGTGGAAGCTGTTACTACAATGATGGTCACAAGGGATCTAGTGTAGGCTCTTCAAAAGGAGGTGGTGACAGCAGATTTCAGGAGCAAGGGTGGTGCTGAGGGTGTGGCATAGAGTAGAGGGAGGAGGCCCTAGAGGTAAGGAGGCACTGGGGAGGGTGTCCAGTCATCTCATCCTGGGGCCCCCTGTAGGCTGACCGTGGGCAGGAGATAGTGCAGCAGGCATGAGGCTTCTTCTCTCCACTGGGTGGTAGAAGGTAGCTCCGCGAGATGTGGAGCCCAGGGACCCAGGGAGAACGGGAACACAGCTGGTAGCCCGGAAGTCCGGGTGAAGACACAGAGCCTTCAGCCTGCCAGGCCCTCAGTGACGGTGCGTTGGTTCCACATTTATCATATCATCGTCTATGCCACATTGAGTGCCAGGCCTTCACTGCACCTCCATGTGGGAGGCCCCCGGGGAGCCGATGGGCTGTCCCTGGCCACATGTCAGTGGGACTGACATGCCTGTCCCTTCCTCTCTTCCTTCTGTCTTCCAGCCTTAACGAGTCAATGCACTTGATCACCAAGCAGCTGCAGTTCCTGTGGGGGGTGCCTCTGATCCGGATCTTCTTCAGCGACATTCTCAGCAAGAAACTGCTGGAGAACCAGGAGCCAGCCCACGCACAGCCAGCGTCCCCGCAGAATGTCCTTCCAGTGAAGAGTGAGTGGCCAGAGCAACCCACCCCACAGTGCTGTGCGGCTGAAGGCCAGCTCCTGTTTCTTCCTGTGCCGACCCGCCCTCTGTTTGTGGGGTGCTCCTGCCCCTTCTGCAGAGATTTTTTTCAGGCTATGTCAATTAAATTTGCCTTTGGCAAAATAGTGACAGAAAATCTAAGGAATAGAAATCGGGGCCAGGGAAACATAAGTAGGTGAGCAAGGTCAAGATCATGTATCCAGAAAAATGTCCCGAGATACGAGTTCCCTGAGGGCTGCTGTGGCTCCCTCTGAACTTCACTTTGGCTGTGGACGTTCTAGTAACAAAATGAAAACGGACTCTGTTTCTTCTCATTACCAGGAAGAAGACCCGTTTCTTAGAGGAAGTAGTTTTTCTGAGCTTTTAATCATAAAACAAACCTCCCGTGTGAGTCTCTCTATGCCGGGGCCACTGAGTCACAGCAGGCTAGCACCCAGCAGCCTCCCTGCTCCAGGGTCAGTAATGGCTTCTACGGAAAGGTTTCTCATTGCACACTCTGGTAAAAGTTAAGGAAAAGCCACGAACACATAGCTCGGTAGGTTTACCTGCCTCTGGCAGATTTCCGGTACCAGTGGCTTTTATTCTGCAGCTCATCCTGCTGCAAAGTTCCGTCTTGTGACTGGCAGTCAGCACGGGCTTGGCGGTGTAACACCGGCAGGACCTACACCTACAGCAGGGGTGGTTTAGAGCACAGGCAGAGATGCCATTCAGAACCTCGGGTCAGTGCTTGGGGTCGTCCGGCCTTCCCTCTCCAACATAGAAAATTGAGACTCAGTCAGGCCCCATCCCTTTTTTTCCTCCTCCAAAATAGCCTCTGAATGAGGTAAAATTAGGTGACACAGTCAAAAAACCCCATATGAGATCCGAATGTGACTGGCTCATACTGAGAAATTTTTTCATGTGATGAAGAGGGTTTTGGATTATACCTAAAACTCTGTTGTTTATGTTTTTATAATTTACCCCAAAAGAAAGTCTTGAATCAAAGCAGCAGCCCTACTGTCTGGCCCTGGCTGTCCATCCAGAGCTGTCGAAATGCTCTTCCTGTCACGGGTGAGTCTGGCAGGTGGCTGAGCTGCTCACATGTCTTCTCATCCCCCCGCCAGGTCTCCTGAAGCGTGCGTTTCAGAAGTCCGCATCCGTCAGGAACATCCTCAGGCCTGTCGGTGGTAAACGTGTCGACTCTGCTGAAGTCCAGAAGGTTTGCAACATTTGCGTCCTCTACCAGACCTCGCTGACCACTCTGACCCAGATCCGGCTGCAGATACTCACAGGTTGGCAGTCCAGAGGTGTCTTTTTCCAACCCTCAAACTTACCTAACAGTTCTTATTAGAAAAAAAAAAGATGAGTATTTGTCTGACATTTGTGACTCAGGAAATAAATGTTGAAGGACTTTTTTTTTTTTTAGCTACTCTTAGAGATTGATATACTCACATAGCTCTAGATAAACTTTTTTTTTTAGAGTGGTTTTTGCTATAGGGCGCGTGCACTTGCCAGAAAGACAGACAGACAGAGAGACAGAAAGTGAGAAATCACCCCCCAGGGGGGATAGTCACACTGCAATCCCTTTTCCATTCTCCTCCGGGGATCTTGGGCACACTCACATGTCCGGCGTGACTTTAAGCCATCGGGGCCGGGACTTGAACCACAGTCGACTACATGGAGTCCAGTGACATAGCCATTACGCCAACTGCTGGTCCCAGCTCTAGATAACTTTAATCGTAGCACTTTCATTTCACTCTTATTACCTGGCTCTTACTTCTGTGACAAAGTACAATTACTTTAAAAAGTTATTATTTTTTTCCAAATAGAAACTAGAAAAGATAGAGAAGCAGGAAAAAAAATGTACACAACTCTTTTCTTTTTCAAGAATTATTTATTTACTTAATTTCATTATTATTATTATTATTTTTTGATTTGACCAGAGAGAGACAGGGAAAGCGAGAAAGCATCCTGCCAGGTCCAGGATTCAAACCACAGTCAGTCATGTGGGAGTCCAGCACCTTAACCACCCACACCACCTGCAGGCCCCTGTACACGACTCTTAATCCTGCAATTCCAAGATTAACTACCTGGGTCTGAGTGTGCCACACATATCATGTAAATATATTTAAGTTGAAACATATAGTTTTATCTTCCTTTACATTAGTCATGTTACCATGTCAAAAATTTTCAAGAACCTCATTTTTATTGGCTGCATGATACCTCATCACATGATATATCCAGTCAAGCAAAAAGAATCCCCACTGTGTGCCAGAATCGGGCATCAAGGACTCTGAGGTTGTAGCACAGGGGTTGGTGGTAGGAGTTGGTACCGAGAACAAAAGGTCTTCGGGAACTACAAAAGCCATGCACCATGTAAAGGCTCGAGAACAAACTCTGCCTCCATTTATATTCTTCAAAGTCATAAAATTGCTGCCTCTTGGGGCCAGCAGGTGGCCTAATGGTTGCATCGCTGAACTCCCACGTAGTCAACTGCGATCTGAATCCTAGACCCGGGTGCTGAAAACTCACACCAGGGCATGTGCGTGTATGCCCAAGATCCTGAGAGGAGGAGAAGGGATTGGAGTGTGGCCATCCTCCCAGGGGGTGATTTCTCACTTTCTGTCTCTCTCTGTCTCTGGCAAGCATATGTGCCCTATAGCAAAAAAAAAAAAAAAGAAAAATCTAAAAAAAAGAAGTATTACTGCCTCTCTCTTTCACACTTACTTGTTCATCAGATATTTGTAGAGTGCATCTGTGCAGAGGAAAACAACACAGACAAGGTCTCTGTGCTCAAGGATTGTATCCTGGTAGTGGGAAGACCAGCAATAATCAAGTAAAAAGTAGCTTTGCCGTAGCGATGGGCACATAATGAAATGAGGAGAGATGCCTTGGCTTGGACAGAGCAGGGTTGCTCAGGCTCGGGATCAGATCTTTTGTTGTTGGGGCTGTCCTGTGTGTCTCCGATATTTAGCAGCCATTGGCCCCCACTCATAGATGCCAGTATACCTTCCCCACCAGTCACCGTGACGGCCAGCATGTCTCCAGAGATTGCAGATTCCCCTGAGGGACAGCAGTCCCTGGTCGACTGGCTTTGCACTACAGTGATGGAGCTGGAGTCAGAGGGTTGCAGATGTGTCTCACTCGTAGTTTGGATTTGGGGGACTGAGGACTAAAGCTTTCCAGGATGATACCAGGTCCTGGGCCAAGCACCTGGGTAGGTGATGGCACCATCTGGTGAGCTGGGGGAGACCAGGTGGGAGCATGCCCTGTAGGAGTGGGGAGTTCTGCTGCGATTGACAGGTGCCTGACAGGCATGCAGGCCGGGGTGTCTGGCAGGCCTTTGAGCACACTCCTGGGGGCACCGGTAGAGGATGGAGCGTAAGACCTTGGACCTCGGGACGAGGGCAGGATCCAAAGAGAGGAAAGAAGGGCCAAGACCACTGCTGGGGTACCCTGCACTTGAAGGTTTGGGAGCATGTTGAGTGAGAGGATTTTGAGGTTCTGGCCTGTGTCCAACTTTTTAAGATGACCTCATATTTAAACTCGTTTAAGTTTTTTGGCCAATTTGAAAATCCGCAGCTGGCCCTGTAGCCTGATGGTTAAGGAAGCAGAGCCCACGTGGCTATCCACAGTTCAAATCCCAGCCCAGGTAATTTGATAAACATGCTGGATACGTGCGTGTGTATGCCCAAAATCTCGACAAAGTAGAGAAAGGGTGGAAAAGGATTGCAGCATGACCACGCCCCATTGGGACCACTGCTTTCTCCCTCTCTCTCTGTCTCTGTCTCTCTCTGTCTCTGGCAAGCGCATAGCATCTCCAGGTCTGTCTGGATTGCTCAGGCCCTTATGCACTCAGTGTGGTGCTATGGGCTATGCCATGGACGGGCAATGCCATGGGCATCCCATTCATACCACGCAGACACGGTTTCTCTTCTGTCCATAGCAGTTTTTCTGTCATCTCCACAATGTCACTACTTACTTCTTTCCTTCTTTTTATTTAAAAAAAAAAATATATTTTATTTTTATTTATTATTATTATTATTATTATTATTTAATTTGCCATATGTGTTCACCAGAATGAGAAAGAGAAAAAGCAAACTACCAGGTCCAGGACGCAAGCAGCCCTCAGCCATGTAGGAGTCCAGTGACTTAGCCACCATGCCACCTTTAGCCCCCCCACTCTGTTTCTTTTTTAACTTTTTTTTTTTGAGAGGTTTTCACAATAGGGCACGTGCGCTCGCCAGACAGAGAGAGAGAGACATAGAGACAGAAAGCGAGAAATCACCCCCCAGGGGGGATGGTCACGCCGCAATCCCTTCTCCATTCTCCTCGGGATCTTGGGCACGCACGCACACGCGCCCGGCGTGAGTTTTAAGCCACCAGGTCCAGGACGCAAACCGCGGTCGACTACGTGGGAGTCCAGCGACATAGCCATTACGCTAACTGCTGGTTCCCTTTTTAACCTATTTTTAAAATTGGACATTTTTGCGTTCTTTGATGTATATGGTATGAGACGGACAGTTTGTAGCCTAGCAGTGAGCTGAGTACCTGTACAGCCACTAACCAGACCTAGAAGCTCTTGGCTTTGTAAAGGCTTCTTCATATCCATATCTTCCTTCCCTTGGAATTGGGAGGTCACACCTTTAAGAGTAACCACCAGATTATGGGGCCAGCAGGTGTTATGGTGGTTAAGGGCGCTGGACTCCCACATGGCCGACCATGGTTCGAGTCCCGGACCTGGCAGCTTGCTTTCTCACTTTATCTTTCTCTCACTCTGTCCTTCTCTGGTCAAATTTAAATAAATAAATGAATGAATAAATAAATTAAGTTAGAGTTAAAAAGAGTAATCACCAAATTAGTTTTACATTTGTCTCCTCCTTTACAATTTTTCAGGTTACCCTCTAAGCATCCATAAATACCAGTGATTTTTTTTTTTAAATAATTATTTTATTTATTTAATTATGTTTGTTATTATTATTTCCTTAATTTGACCAGAGAGAGAGACAGAGAGAGAGAGAAAGGGAAAGTGAGAAAGCAAGCCACCAGGTCTGGGACTCAAATTGTAGTCGGTCATGTGGGAGTCCAGCACCCTTCACCACCATACCACCTGCTGGCCCCATAATCTGGTGATTTTCTTCCCCAGGCTTCTCTGTGTTCCCCAAATAGTTCTTTGTTCAAAATTAAGTAATTCAAAGGACATCTCCAAAATCCTGAAAGGAAAGATAAAGGAGAAGGGATTGAGGAGAAGGATTCCCCCATGAAGAGTGCTTTCTCACTTTCTCTCTCTGTATCTCTCTGTCTCTGGCAAGTGCATGCATGCTCTAACAAATTAAAAAAAAAAAAAAACTTAAATTCTAGGACCAGCAGATGTCATAATGGTTCCATCACTGGACTCCCCACATAGTTGACCACAGTTCGAGTTCTGGACCTGTTAGCCTAAAACTCACTCTGGGCGTGTGTGTATGAATACTCAAATTCCCAAAAGGAGAATGGAGGAGAGGGATTGCAGCATGGCCATCCCCCCCAGAGGATGATTTCTCACTTTTTGTCTCTCTGTCTCTGTTTTACTGGTGAGCGCACACACTATATGGCAAAAATCTCTCTTAAAAAAAAAACTGGGACCAGCAGTTGGCATAGTGACTGTCGCTGGACTCCCACGTAGTCGACCTTGGTTCGAGTCCCGGACCCAGTGGCTTAACCTCACGCCGGGCGCATGTGCATGCATGCCCAAGATCCCGAGAGGAGAATGGAGGAGAAGGGATTGCGGCGTGGCCATCCCCCCTGGGGGGTGATTTCTCACTTTCTGTCTCTCTGTCTCTCTCTGTCTGTCTGGCGAGTGCACATGCCCTAAAGCAAAAAGAACCTCTCAAAAAAAAAAAAGCAAGACTTAAATTCTAAGATAACTTGTGTTCTCCTCCTGGCTGTGACACTTATTGACTGTGCAGTTTGGGGCTAATAATTGAACCTCTCTGTGCTTGGCTTTCCGTCCTTGCAAAACGAAGGTAACACTGAGCTGCACAGGCAGAAGGGAGACAATGTGAGCAAAGCGTCTGGAAGAGTGTGTGGTACTTAGTAAGCCCCCATGAAATGTTCACTGTTGCTATGTTATCGTTATTCTCATGTCGATAATGCTTTTCTTAATCATTGTACCCTTTTCTTCTTGGGCACAATAAGTGTGTTAACTAATAGGTTTAAGCGTTTTGTTTTCCCAGCAGATAGGAAAAATAGGAGACCAGGTGGAAGCCTGATCTGAAGCTTGGGATTCTCTGTTCTTTTCCAGGTCTCACTTACCTTGATGACCTGCTGCCCAAACTGTGGGCTTTTATCTGTGAGCTGGGGCCCCATGGAGGGTTGAAGCTCTTCTTGGAATGCCTGAACAATGACACTGAAGAGTCCAAGCAGCTCTTGGCCATGCTGATGCTGTTCAGTGACTGCTCTCGCCACCTCATCACGTAGGTTGACTGCTGTGGGGCTAGAAATCGGAAGGGACACACGTACTGCATACACTTAGACCTCTGGCAGGGTCATGGTAAGAAGTAGACAAGAACACATTTACAGAGCAGGTGGCATGCAGTAGGTGCTCAGTAATTGTTAGTTTCTGTCCTTTCAGGGGGTTTTGAGTCAGCACCACTGAGTGTGGGCTTTGGGTTCAAATCACAGCTCAGTACTTGTTCACTGTACTAGGTTTTTTTTTGTTATAGGGCACATGTGCTTGCCAGAAAGACAGGGAGAGACAGAGAGAAAGCAAAAAATCACACCCCAGGGGGGATGGCCACGCCACAATCCCTTCTCCATTCTCCTCTCAGGGTCTTGGGCACTCACGCACATGCGCCTGGTATGAGTTTTAAGCCACCGGGTCCAGAACTCGAACCATGGTTGACTGTATGGGGAGTCCAGCAACGTAGATATTATGCCATCTGCTGGTCCCTGATCCTTATTTTTGAGAAAATAAGCAGAGTAGACAAAGAGACAGAAAGCGAGAAATCCCCCCATGGGGAGATGGCCACGCTACAATCCCTTCTCATCCATTCTCCTCTCAGGATGAGTTGAAGCCACTGGGTCTGGGACTTAAATCACGGTCAGCTACATGGGAGTCCAGTGACATAGCCATTATACCAACTGCTGGTCCCAAGTAGATTTTATGTGTTTTTAAACTTTTTCCTTTGGCCAATTTCACATACATAGAAAAAAGAAAGAACAATGCAATAAAAGCTTGTGCGTCTGTGGCCAGCTTTACAGTGAGCTTTACAGCAAGTCAGCCTTGCTTCAACTAAACCCCACCTGCTCTCCCCGCCCCGATTATTTAGAAGCAAACTGTAGATGTCTTAGTACTTCCTCTACGAATTTTATAGTAATCATCTCTATAAGGTAGTGCTTATTCCTTAACCTTGTTTGTTTTATCCGGTAAATAGTACAGATCTCATTTTTTCTCTTAGTAGGAAATTCTGAATAATTTTCTATCTGCTTTAGGATTCTTGATGACATTGAAGTTTATGAAGAACAAATTTCATTCAAACTGGAAGAACTGGTCACCATTTCCTCTTTTCTGAATTCCTTTGTGTTCAAGATGATTTGGGATGGAATTGTAGGTAAGGTAAAGGTTTCTGCCATTGTATGATTGATATTACACCCACAGAGGCCAAGAGGTTGATGACTTTGACAGTTCTTAGCTTCATTGTCTATCTGAGCTAGCAGAAAGTGCACATTTATTCACCTAACTGGAAGTTTCATTTCTTTACTCTGGTTGTGTCCTCTTAAGATAGTAGCATGGGGCCATACCATAGCAGCTAAATGCTGTGCCCACTGGTCCACCAGGCTCTGAGTCCCACCCCATGGCCCAAAACACAAGCCAGGCATGCAGGCAGATGACCAGGCCCCACTGAGGGGGCTTTCTCTCTTTTTTTAGAGAGATTTTTGTTATAGGGCATGTGCATTCTCTGGAGAGACAGAGAGACAGAAAGCAAGAAATCACCCCCTAGGGGGGATGGCCATGCTACAGTCCCTTTCCCTCTGTTCTTGTCTCAGGATTTTGGGCACACACACATGTGCACCCGGTGTCTTTCAAGCTCCTGGATCTAGGACTTGAACCACGGTCAACTATGCGGGAATCCAGTGACATAACCATTACACCATCTGCTTGTCCTTTTCTCTCTTATGCACATACATGCCCTCTGCCATTGGAAAAAAAAGATATTAGTGTGGTATAGAAGTCCCACCCCTGGGATTCACATGTATATGTCAAGGCTTATAATGATGATTCATTTCACCCTGAATGTCCTTTTAGTCCTTGGGGGTTGATTTCCATGAAAATGTGAAGTGTGCCAGCTCACGTTTCAGAGTGAGTACCCCTCCTGAAGGGTTTGCAGTCGCTCAGTAAAAGCTCCTCCAGTTAAAAGGTCCCGGTAAGAGGCAGCGAGAGTGACTGTGACAGATGCTCAGGCCCTGCAGACCTGGGCACATACCCAGGGCACCTTTTCATTCCTTCAGTTCCACGTGAGAGTCAGAGTGAGGAGATCAAGCTCTTCCTGATGACCATGGGGGATGAGGACTGTCCTCTCTGGTTCTGGCTCCTCTTCCGTGAGTGTGACTTTACCCTTTATCCCACAGAGAACGCCAAGGGTGAGGCTTTGGAGCTGTTCCAGTCCGTCCATGGGTGGCTGATGGTGCTCTATGAACGGGACTGCCGGCGGCGCTTTGCCCCCGAGGACCACTGGCTGCGAAAGTGAGCATCAGGGATGGGGGTTTCCTAGAAGCCAGAATCTGCCCTGTCCCATGGCAGCCAAGGCACCTGCGGGTTCAGAGTGTATGCTCTGGGCACAGGGCACTCCCCTCCCTTCATCCTGCTCATCTGCGTAGAGCTGCTGTTCTTGGGAAGCACCTGGCAGTGTGGGTTATCTTGCATCTTTTCTGTTACGAGATACTTTAACTGGGTCTATCAGGTGACATAGTGGTTAAGGCACTGGACTCCCACATGACCAACCACAGTTCGAATCCCAGACCTGGCAACCTGACAGTCACGCCAGTGCATGTGTGTGCATGCTCAAAATCCAAGGAGGAGGATGGAGGAAAAAGGGATTGTGTATGGCCATCCCCCTGGGGGATGATATGACTTACACTGATATGATTAGATTTAATAGTTGCAGCAAAGACAGATCATGTTTAGTAGGTATTTCTTAGCCAAACTGGAATGAGAAGATCTTTTAGCTGAGTTGAAAGATCTTCCTGTGAGCTGAGCCACAGGGTATGGTTGTTAAATGGTAGTTTTTATCAACAGAATTACCAGAGGAAAAACTGCTTTTAGTTTTTTGGGGGTAGGGTAGGAGAAAACCTCCCATACCAACTAAACACAAGAGCCCTCAACATTTTTTATCAGTGATGTGACAACCCATACGTAACGAAGCTATGGCAGTAGGGCAGGGCAAACTTCTTCTGTAAAGGGTCAGGTGGGTTTTGTTTTGTTTTACTTTTTAATCGTCAGATGGTGGGTGTGCTTGCTAGAGAGAGGTGGAGAGATGGGCTGGGAGGAGTGGAAGAAAGCACCCCACAATGGGCATGGTCACCTCAATCCTTTCTCCTCCATTTCTCCATTCTATTGGGATTTTGGACATGAACACTCAAAAATACATGTGCCCAATGTATTTTCCAGGCTGCCAGGGCTTGGATTCATACTGCAGTCAGTCATGTGGGATCCAGATCCTTGAACCACTGGGCGACGGGACTAGCCCTGGACCAGGTGGTTTTAGGCTTCATGGACCCAACAGCCTTTTGCAGCTGCTCTTGTACAATGAAAACAGCTGTAGCCGTTACATTTCTAAATGAGAATGGTGATGTTCCCGTACAACTCTTACAGAAACAGGCAGCAGGCTGGATTTGACCTGCCAGCCCTGCTCTAGAGAATGGTTTTCTTGTTTTAATCATCCCAACCCTTGTCTTTCTCCTAAGGGATCTCAAACCTAGCGTGCTCTTCCAGGAACTCGACAAGGACAGAAAACGGGCACAGTTGATCCTGCAGTACATCCCTCACGTCATTCCTCATAAAAACGTGAGTTGCACTCAGAGCTGGGTTCCTGGTATGCCTTTCTGTCCTGCCTCGTGGTTCTTGACCTTCTGTTCGGTTATAGCAATTAGAACTGACTCAGAGATCGTTCATTCAGCAAGTGCAGCAGTGACTGGCCCGTACTCTGGCCAGCATGACTCCGAGCGCTGGGCGTGCAGGGGTGGAGGTGATGGGCGCTGGCGATTCGGTGAGCAAGTTGTGTGCTACGGGGATGCAACTCCAGAGCCCAGGCACGGGGACTGACCCTGCCAGAGAGAGGAAGGGGGCAGGGGGAGCGCCGGGGGCAGGATCTTAACACAGGTATAAGATAACTTATTCTAGTGCTACTTCACGTGCTTGAGAATTTAGAACCATTTTGGTGTTATGAATCTTATATTCCCAGTAAACCTTAAATATATTCTAAGCTTCAGTTTTCCCATTAATATTTTTATTACTGCAAGTGCAATTAAAGTCTTTTAAAGTTATCCTTCAGGGCTGGTCCAGTGGCTTCATGGTTAAGGGAGCCAGATCCTACATGGCTAACTATACAGTTCCAATTCTAGTCCCAGCAGCTTGATAAACATGTCAGGTATGTGTGTGTGTATGCCCAAAATCCCAATGAGGTAGAGAAATGGAAAAGGGATTGTGGTAATAACCACATCCCACTAGAGGGTTCTTTTTTCCTCTCTCTGGTATGAATACATGCCCTCTAGCAAATAAAAATTTGGGGGTAGGGTAGGAGAAAACCTCCCATACCAACTAAACACAAGAGCCCTCAACATTTTTTATCAGTGATGTGACAACCCATACGTAACGAAGCTATGGCAGTAGGGCAGGGCAAACTTCTTCTGTAAAGGGTCAGGTGGGTTTTGTTTTGTTTTACTTTTTAATCGTCAGATGGTGGGTGTGCTTGCTAGAGAGAGGTGGAGAGATGGGCTGGGAGGAGTGGAAGAAAGCACCCCACAATGGGCATGGTCACCTCAATCCTTTCTCCTCCATTTCTCCATTCTATTGGGATTTTGGACATGAACACTCAAAAATACATGTGCCCAATGTATTTTCCAGGCTGCCAGGGCTTGGATTCATACTGCAGTCAGTCATGTGGGATCCAGATCCTTGAACCACTGGGCGACGGGACTAGCCCTGGACCAGGTGGTTTTAGGCTTCATGGACCCAACAGCCTTTTGCAGCTGCTCTTGTACAATGAAAACAGCTGTAGCCGTTACATTTCTAAATGAGAATGGTGATGTTCCCGTACAACTCTTACAGAAACAGGCAGCAGGCTGGATTTGACCTGCCAGCCCTGCTCTAGAGAATGGTTTTCTTGTTTTAATCATCCCAACCCTTGTCTTTCTCCTAAGGGATCTCAAACCTAGCGTGCTCTTCCAGGAACTCGACAAGGACAGAAAACGGGCACAGTTGATCCTGCAGTACATCCCTCACGTCATTCCTCATAAAAACGTGAGTTGCACTCAGAGCTGGGTTCCTGGTATGCCTTTCTGTCCTGCCTCGTGGTTCTTGACCTTCTGTTCGGTTATAGCAATTAGAACTGACTCAGAGATCGTTCATTCAGCAAGTGCAGCAGTGACTGGCCCGTACTCTGGCCAGCATGACTCCGAGCGCTGGGCGTGCAGGGGTGGAGGTGATGGGCGCTGGCGATTCGGTGAGCAAGTTGTGTGCTACGGGGATGCAACTCCAGAGCCCAGGCACGGGGACTGACCCTGCCAGAGAGAGGAAGGGGGCAGGGGGAGCGCCGGGGGCAGGGGGAGCGCCACGGGCAAAGTAGACGGTGTTTAAAGGCCCAGGCGGGGTACGCGACCATGCCTTGCTGTTAGAGAGCCAAACATCGGTCTGGCTGGAAAGAGCGTAAAGGATAGAGTCAGGAAGTGAAACCGAGGAGGTTTGTAGGAGCTCGAGCATGGAGGGCTTCACAGACCAAGGCTGGGAGCTTGCATTTTATTCAGGCCGAGGCGAGGTTTTAAGCTTAGGAGACGCCTGGTCAGAGCCATGCTTTATGAAGTCATTCTGGCTGTTTTGGAGCACTGGCTAGAGGCAGAGGGGTTAGAGCCAGTGGCCTGCACGAGGCTGGTACCATCCAAGTGGAAAGATGGCCCAGGCAGGAAACAGCTAAGGAGGAAGCACCTGCAGCCTTTGAGGAGGAGGAGGGGTTCAGGTGATGTTCAAGTTTCTGACTGGTGGCCAGGAAGGGCCATTCCCAGAGGCAGAAACCAAGGCCTGAGCAAGCCCAGGAAGCGGTGATGACTTCAGCTTTGTACAGATAGGAGGCTGCTGGACACGGAGGCTGGAGCTCAGTAGAGAGGGCTGGGCTAGGAGTAGGCTCTGTGTGTGGACTGCACCCCTATCTCCTGACTGCACCCATGGACATGGGTGAAGCATTCAGAGGACCAGACAGAGTGAGAAGACCAGGACCCTGTGGGCCTCATCACTTAAAGGGCCAGCACGAGAGGAGAGAAACCAGGAGTGTGGCGTCACACACCCAGGGGACATGGGAGTTCTGGGAAGGGCTGGGTACTGTGACTCCAGCCTCCAGGAAAGGAGGGACACATTGCTCACGCCCTCGCGAACAGCAGTGCCCCAGAGGCTGCTGGACGCCCTGAGAGGTCTGCGCTCCTCCCTGAGTCTAAGCATGCTCTTTTCTCCTTCCCGTCCTATTTTCTTTTTTACAAAATAGACATCTTTAGAAAAGAGGGCTAATCACATTTTTATAAGCTAAATCTTACTTTTCAGAGGCACTTAAACCTCACTTCTCCCTGATACTGTTTTGACCTTGACGTTAATACTTACGGTTGCTATTCTTTCCCACAGGCTGTGATGTGCAAAAGATGGGGCTATTTAAATTCCCAGCACATTTGACAGACTCATACATGAGGGGACCTTATGGCAATTACTCAAACACTGTCCCTGAGGGAGCCTCTTCAGAGTAGCACCGACCTTGCCTCCAACAGAAAACACAGCTTTGTAAAGCAGGCCACGGCTTCTCTGAGGCTTTACTCTTCCAAACCAGCGACCATTCTTCCTCATCTTAAGCTAATCTATTTCTTTGTAACTTTTACTTTTTGGTCTTTGAACAATCCCTTAAAATGGTATCTCTAATTTCTTGAATAAATGTTTTTTTTTTTTTGGAGAGGTTTTCGCTATAGGGTGCGTGCGCTCGCCAGACAGATAGAGACATAGAGACAGAAACCAAGAACTCACCCCCCAGGGGGGATGGTCACGCCGCAGTCCCTTCTCCTCCATTCTCCTCTTGGGATCTTGGGCATGCACGCACACGCGCCAGGCGTGAGTTTTAAGTCACTGGGTCCAGGACGCGAACCACGGTCGACTACGTGGGAGTCCAGCAACATAGCCATTACACTAACTGCTGGTTCCCTTAAATAAATCTTCTGAAATTCGCAGTCTCCCATCTCCCACACCTGGCATCCTTACCTCCTGCGGCTGTTCCTGGTTTGAGGTAGTCTCCACGCCTCTGTATCCCGGCTCTCATCTAGCTTGGTGGTGCTAATACCAAAGGCAGCACCTCTTCCCAGACCCGTGCGTCTGTGGGTTCAGCCTTTGATCATAGCATTCCTACTATGTGTAGACTAGAATCTCCATTCTGTGTATCTGTGGTTCAAAACAGTGTATTGGGGAGCCAGCTCCATGGTTAAGGCAGCTGGATCCCACATGGCCAACCACCTGGTTTGAGTCCTAGACTGGGCAACTTGAGAGTCTAAGCACGTGAGTCTAAGCCCTGCACATCTGAGTGTGTACCCAAAATCTTGAAAGGAGGGAGAAATGGAGGAGATGGGATTATGGCAAGATCGTTCCCCATAGGGGTGCTTTCTCCTCTTGTTCTCTCTGGTGGGCACATGTACCCTCTAGCAGAAAGCATAAATACCTGAAGTTGTGAGGACCAAACTACTTTTTTTTTTTGGAGAGATTTTCATTGTAGGGCGCGTGCGCTCGCCAGACAGACAGAGAGAGACATAGAGACAGAAAGCGAGAAATCACCCCCCAGGGGGGATGGTCACGCCGCAATCCCTTCTCCTCCATTCTCCTCTCAGGATCTTGGGCACGCACGCACACGCGCCCGGCGTGAGTTTTAAGCCACCGGGTCCGGGACACGAACCGCGGTCGACTACGTGGGAGTCCAGTGACATAGCCATTACGCTAACTGCTGGTTCCCAGGACCAAACTACTTAAGAGAGATTTTTCTACAGGGTATGGGCACTCATCAGAGAGAGAGAGATAGAGAACTAGAAAGTGAGAAATCACCCCTGGGGGTATGGCCACACCACAATCCCTTCTCCTCTTAGGATTTTAGACACGCATACACGCGCACCAGTGGGGATTTTAAGCCTCTGGTTCCAGGACTCGAACAGCGGTTGACTACATGCGAGTCCAGCAGCATAGCCACTGCACCGTCTGCTGGCCCCAGGACCAAACTATCGAGTAAGTGGAACCGTTACGGATTTCTCCCAGCTCAGGAGTGCCAGGAGAACGGTTCCTAGAGTGTCTTCAGTAAGACTTTGGGATCAGTCAAGACGGTTGGGTTTAGCTGTTTGCTCATCCTCACTATTTATTTTTCTTTTGGAAACTTTGCCTATGATTGCCATCAAGGCTGTTTATTTTTGGCTCATACTAGTCCCTCCTTGGGAAAATAGGCCCCTCCCCATCTCCAGGTCCTGTCCTGGGACAGTACCAGTAGGTTCTGGGAGAGTATCCGAGGGTGTCCAGGGACCTGCTGCCTCCTGTCTCAGGTCTCACGTCCCTCCTGACAGCACGTGCAGCCCCGTGCCAGGAAACTCTTCCAGTGGGGTGGTCAGGTCACTTCGTCTCACTGTCAGCATTGTGCCAGCTGCCCCAAGTGTGGCCCCTGGTTTTGTTCTTGCTCTCCGCCCAGTGAGGGGCTCATCATGCCTGGCCCGTGTCCCCCCGCCCTGGCCGCCCACATGCGGGCTCTTCCTTTACCTCTTCCTCTGCACTCGCCGCCTTGCCTTTGCCCAACCAGGTGCGACTCAAGTCCCCACTGCGACTTCAGATCTCCACCTCTTGTTTAGCCTAGGAAGCCCACGTGGTGTGAGAGGGAAGAGGGGCTCTGTGGGGCAGGGGTCCTTGTGCAGCATCCTCAGGGCTGGGAGGATGCTGTTTCTCATATGGCAGCAGAGTGTGAGGGCAAAGAGAACTCGCTCCCAAAAGCCTGGTTTTTTTGTTTGTTTGTTTGTTTGTTTAGAGAGATTTTTGTTATAGGATACATGCACTTGCTGGAGAGAGAAAGGCAGAAAGTGAGAAATCACCCCCCTAGGGGGAAGGGCCACACCACAGTCCCTTCTCCTCCATTTTTCTCTCGGAATTTTGGCCACACACACATGAGAGTTGTAAGCTGCAAGGTCTGGGACTCAAACCATGGTTGATTACGTGGGAATCCAGCGACGTAACCATTATGCCATCTGCTGGTCCTCCAAAAGCCCGTTTTTAAAGACATTAAACCCACCCATGTGGGCAGAGCCCTTATGGCCTAACCGCCTCCTAAAGCCCCAGCTCCCATCCCCATTACCTTGGCAGTTGAATTTCAACATGCATCCTGGGGAGGATGGTCACTTGAACCACGGCACTTCTCAGGGGGCCCTTAGTGACTGCTTTTTCTGTTACAGCCCAGATTCGTACAGTTCATACAGTAATTAAGTGAAAATCCGCTAGGCCCCCTTATATGTAGTAACTTCATTGCTGTCATTGTTAGTGCTGCTGTTATTACTGTTCTTATTTATATCTAACAAAGCTCCTGGCTTTTAGGAGACATTCCCATGTTTGAAAAAACAGATGTAGCTGGATTTATGTATTCATTCAGCTGACTTTATTTGAATGCTATTATTTAAAAAAGAGAAAGCAACCCAAAGTGGAGCAGAGTTGTTCTCTCTTGAAGGGGCTTATCAGATCTATTTTTTTTTTAATGTGCCAGAGAGGGCATATACCCTTGTCAGAGAGAGAAGAAAAGCATCCCCCGTGGGGAATGGTCATGTTACAGTCACTTCTCCATCTTTCCCTCCTTTCAAGATTTTGAGCACATACGTACAGGCACCCGGCATGTTTCTCAAGCCACTAGATGCAGAACTCGGAACTGTGCATCAACCATGTGGGATCCAGCTGCCTTAACTACCGTGCCATTGACTGGCGCCTATCAAGATCTTAAGAATAAGCAGAGGGTTGTTTTCAAACAGTAATTGATAAATATTATTGGTGGGACTGTGGCATGCTTGACAGAACAGAGGAGGCCAGTGGAAAGGTCAGGGACCTTTATACTGTAGGATCATTTGTTTAATTCTGACAGTAGGAAAAATTATTTTGGAATGCTTTCTGTTTTTTAAATCCACAATATTGATTTCCTTTAAAGCAGGCACAGCTGTATAAAGCAGCCTCGGTGACTTGCTCTGCCACCAGATTGTTACAGTGGATTATCAACTGGACGAGGAGAATGGTTTTCTCCAGGACTATCCCTAGCTGGAGCTCAGCTGGAGCCAGATCACTCTCTTTGCACAATTCTTCCTAATTCCCAAAAGTGTTTTGGGGAATGATTGCTATTCTTGCAAGGCTCTTCTAACCAGACACACATAACAAAACCTCCCATTCCAACTGCATCTCACATGACTTAAATTTCAGTAATTTTGTAGGGTGTTTTTTACGGAATCATCAGCTGTCGATTCTGTTTCTGGTCCCACCTCTGCTCATTTCAGAGAGTTCTCCTGTTCCGAAACATGGTCACCAAGGAGAAGGAGAAGCTGGGGCTTGTGGAGACCAGCTCTGCCTCCCCCCACGTCACTCACATCACTATCCGTCGGTCGCGGATGTTGGAGGTAAGTAGCATGATTTGCAGAACCCTATCGTGAGGGAGTGCGTGGTCTGAAGTATAGGCCTTGTAGCTGATGAGCTGATGCCCCTGAGCGGGTTGTCACTCCTTCATCTCAAGGCTCTGAAGTCAAGGCTCCAGGAGAAGGAGAGGGGCCATTTGTCCTAGGACTGCTCTGAATAGCTGCTTGGTTAAACACGTCCTCAGCAGTGGAGATCCACCGTTTCCCACTCTGTCCTGTGAGGGCTCCTGGCTAGAGCATCAGACTTCTCTAGGTCTCTTTGAAACAAAGACAGGAACTGCCAAGTGCAGCAGCCCCAGTGACATGTCATGAGCACCAGCTTTTAGGGTGGGCCAGGAGCAGACCCTGGGCCCTGCTGTGGCCTCCCCTGCTGAGCAGCAGTGTCCAGCTTGCCTCGCCCCACTGAGCTTGTTTCTGACATTCTTAAAAGAGAGCATGAGGACCCTGCGGGTCCTGGGAATGAGCAAAGCTGGCTGCATGGGTCTCATCACAGGAACTTTTTGTTTGCCTCCTAGACAGACAGAAATGTTGTCTACCTCCACTGAGCTCTCGTTTTTTTGAAACAGAGCCCTCTCTGTCATTGTTCCTCTACTTGAGTTGTACAGCCCCGTAAGTGAGTTGATCAGTGATGACCGAGATCCAGCCTCAGTGCTGGCAAGCAGTCTGGGTGGATGGGCAAGTGGACAACAGGTTCCTCCCTGCTCAGCTCCTCCTGACTTGCCTCCTGGAGAGATGGGCTCCGTCATCTGACATTTTAGAAGGCCTGCATTCAGCTCTTTCATAACTAATGAAATTTTATAAAGTACCTAGAAGGTCAGGTAACACCTGTCTTCCCTCCACATTCGACTCGTGGGCCAGCAGTTTACAACCTCTGCCTTGACTCAAAGAAGGAAAAAGCTCAATTGAGTTGGAGAACCTCCCTTTATTGGCGTGTCCTCATTGGACCCACATGTACCGCCCCACCCCTAAAAGTCCACCCGCTCAGATGTGGCCAGCACCACCCCTGAGGAGCATGGGTAGTGTAGACTACGGTGGCTCCCGAACAACACCCTGAGGTGTCACTGCTTATGAGAGATTCCCCTGACAGCCCAGTTACCTTGGGCTGTTTTGAAAACACATTCCTTGGGGAAGTCACGGGAGGGATGTCTGTTTCAGGTTTTCAGCCAAATCCATGCCCCCTTTACTTTCTCAGAGTACACCTTGTCGGCAAACTGAACTAGGAAAGGGAGGGACCGTTTAACCAGTCGTCATGGCCGTTCTCATAACCTGCAGGTTGGTCAGTAGGACATGAGAGCCTTCGTTTGATTTGGGCACAGCAAGGCATCGCAAAGCTGCTGTCAGACCCATGCTGTGCTGGGCGCAGTCTGCTTCCTTTTTATGGTTTCTGTGGAAGGCTCTGCGTCCATGTTAGGCTTCCAGATGTTGGTCTCAAATCCAGCAGGAAGGGTCCCCCACCCAGAGGATAATTTGGACTGGAACTCTAGCATTTCAGAGCTGGAGTGAGCCTCAGACATACTGTTATCCAGCCTCTCCTCTCATTCCGGCAAGGACAGAATTGGTCAGAGAAGTTAGATTCTTAGTCAAGGTCACAGGTATCTGTGACGGAGCCGGGCCTGAGAGCCGGGCCTCACTTCCCCAGGTCAGTGTTCTCTGCATGTGCCCACTGAGATGTGGCAGAGAAGAGGAAGACTGGGCTCGCTCACCTTCCCAAGGGGCATGTATGTGACCCTCATGCCACCTCACCCCTCCCAGAGCAGGAAACACGGCAGAGACGCAGGTCGCAATTCTCTATCGCCTTTTTTTTAAAAAAGAGATTTGTGTGTGTGTGTGCTTGCCGGGAGGCAGAGACAAAAAGCAAGAAATCATCCTCCAGGGGGAATCACACCATGATCCCTTCTCCCTCCATTCTATTCTCGGGATTTTGGGCACACACGCACATGTGCCCAGCCTGAGTTGTAAGCCCTTGGGTCCAGGACTCGAACTGCGGTCAACTATGTGGGAATCTAGTGATGTAACCATTACGCCATCTGCTGGCCCCTCCTCTATCACTTTATTTATTTATTTATTTATTTATTTATTTTAAGAATTATTTACTTTTATTTATTTATTTTTTTTTTATTTTAATTTGACCAGAGAAGGATAGAGAGAGAGAGAGAGAGAGAGTGAGAAAGCAAGCTGCCAGGTCCAGGACTCGAACTATGGTTGGCCATGTGGGAGTCTAGCATGCTTAACCACCATGCCACCTGCCGGCCCCACCTCTGTCACTTTTTAAAAATGACGTAGGGTTGATCTAGTGACTCTCATTGAGCACCTACCAAGTGCAGAGGCACACGCGGGTGCTCTCACACGCTCCCTCTGCAGTTCACTCTGCAGAAGCACAGACACAGCTGCTGGCATGCGCACGGCTGGGGAGGCAGACCCACAGCAAAGTGGAGGTCACCCTGCAGGCAGACGGGAAAGGGTCGGGGTTGCCCTCCCGTCCTCAGCTCCATGCCTGGAGGGTTACCTGAAGTTTAGGCAGAATGGTTTCAGTGTTGCTACAGGTGCATGGCGACTTCTGTGTCTCTCTTTTTTACATGCTGCTTAGTGGCTCTCAAAGCTTATGTACTTAAAAAGTACTTTTTAGTTCCTCTACACAAAGCCATGGTCCTGTTCCTACTGGTGACTTGAAGGACTTCGGAAGTCATTTTTCCCTGGCTCACTACCTTGAGCGCCTAACCCCTGAGCAAGGGTCAAGAGCACCGTGAGGCAGTGAGGATGCCAGAAAGGCAGCAACAGTTCCCAAAACGAGTTGTGCCATGTGGCCTCGTTCACCTTGTGACAGTGACCAGACTGGCAAATGAGTGTGTGCTATGGAGACGGTCTCTCCCACGTCAGCAAAACATGCCAGCACTACAGTGTGGACAAGCATGGGGTGGCTTTGCTAGGACAGTAAGGGTGATCCAGACCCATTCTGTGGTGACATCTGAAGGACCTCCCCCCCCCTTTTTACTGATGGGGCCTCATGTCAGGCCGAAGAACTCCTCCCTGGGCCCAGTTCTGTTCAGCACTGTGTTGTAATCACCGCTCTAGAACAGAGACCTCAGCAGCTCACTCGTCAGCACCCTAAATACGAGCAGTGTGTTCGGTGGCAGAATCAGGAGCCAGAAAAGCCACCTCAGCAGCCCAGAGCCAGCAGACAAGAGTGGTAGGGTGATTTAGCAGGAGACCTCTCCCCACGTGTTGAT